CATAGTACATGCAAAGCCTCTGGGTCTTCTACTTCCATGGAATGCGTGCAYAGTTCAAACTTTTTYGCAAGACTTCTAACAGAATCAAGGCRGCTTGACTTAGTCCGCTYYACTTTTCAAGGAACGTGAAYGATAAGGATGTAGAACAAGACTCAGAGATTCAAGCCAAGATTCTAGGAGATTCTGTTTAGCTTAGTCGTATATCAGGAGGCATCCTCCTCAGTTTACAATAACCTGAAAAGTCCCGAATTAGACTATAGCAAAATTTTGTGAGAATACAATTAGATTGAGAGTTTCTTTCTTTATTCTTCTCATCTAATAAAAGCTTCTGACGTATTTAAGGTCATCTTTCTTTCATAACTTTATCTTGAATACTTTGTTAGACCTTTCCAGTTACATAGGTTTTACTTCACCCACACTTATTTATCTGTGTTTTCTGATATTAACAGAATCTAGGTTCCAACAATTGATATCAGAGTCTGCTAATCAAATAAATTGATTAGTCGATGGATATCCAAAAGGATACTTCTCTTAATTTGGTTATTCATTTTTTAAAAATGCATTTCATTCCGATCTTTAATCAAATTCTGTTTGAAAAACGTTCGCTTTCGTATTCTCAAAATCTGTCAAAACTCGACTATTCTCACTTTCTAGTCAACTTTTTTCTCAAATCTTTCAACGGAATGTCTAACCAATTGTGGAACTCCACGTACAACGCCGATTCCCTCACAAAACCTCCTACTCTCATTCGGAAGAATATCCCCAATGAAAGATCAGGATGATCAATTTCTATGAAGGTCTCAACCTTGAATTATACGAGTCTATTTTAAATGGCACATTCGTACCTACTACTCTAGTCCCCAGAATTCCTRCTGCTGGTGACACGGTCGAAGTACCCGCAAGGCRAGTTCCCAAGCTCCRTAGAGATTGGGACGATGAAGACAAAAGAAGGGTGGAAATGGATCAAAAAGCCAAGAGGCTTTTCATCATGGCCCTTCCCAATGAGATTTTTCAATYTATGGATGCCTGCGATTCTTCCACATWCCTATGGGATCAATTGGCWGACCAGCTGGAAGGAGGAATTAAGATGAAGAAGAACCATCTTGCTCAATGTCTGAATGAGCACAACAGTTTCCAAGCTCTCCCAGATGAGTCTCTCGAGCAGAATTATCACCGGTTCAACACCCTGATCAACAAATGTAGGAAGTGTGATGTGATCAGGACTCAAGAGGAAAACAACATGCTCTTCTTGAAGATGTTGAATGTTGAATGGGGGAACTTATCCATGTCCCTCCAGGCAAATCATGACCTGGAGCAGTGGAGTCTTCATGACGTATACGACACCTTGCAAGCGCAGGAGCAAGAGGTGCAGAAGGCCAAGGTCGCTCTGGTGGACCACTGGCTCTCATCTCTGACTCTAAAGAGACTAGGTCTAGTTAACCACACAGAGAACAGAGATCGATGGAGGAGAAAAGAAGAGGGAAGAAGGCTCTTGTTGTGGAGACCGACGATGAAGACAAAGCTTGAAGCTCTGAGGATGATGACATTAGTGCATTCGCACATTTCTTGGCTCTAATTACCATGGAATTTCAAAGAAAATTGGGAAAGAAAGTCTTCGACAAGATAGGAGGTCGAAGTGACAAGGGTAGAGGCAGAGGATTCGAAGGAAAGAACCCTTCTTCTTTACAAAATAAGAAGGAGAAGAACAGTCAAAGAAGAAGAAGCATGCTGTAAGATGCTTCAGAAGTGGTAAGATGGGCCACAACTCCAAAGAGTGCAAAGGCCCTTTGGTGAAAGATGAACTGTACTATAAGAATAAGTACAAATACAATCGATCCCAGAGGAGCCTCATGGCCGAGCAAGAAAACTGTGTGTCTGACTCCTCGTCTGAAGAAGAAGACCAAGCTCACTTATGTGGCATGGCTGTTGAAAATGATGCAGAAGAGTCGGGATCTGGCTCCGACTCCCAGGTATGTTCTACCTCTAGTTATTCTCATTCCGATCTGGAAGAAAGTATCTCTACTTTTACCCAAGATTTTCTAAAACTACAACAAAAATTCTCTATTGAAAAGTCAAAAAGAAAATCTTTAGAAAAGAAAAAATAGTTCTTTGAACGAGAAACAGAGTTGTTATCTGTAGAAAAACAAGAACTTTTAGTGGAAAAAGAAAAAAACTTTTAGAAATAAAATGCTCCACTGAAAATAATTCAGAGTGCTCCAAACTAAAAGCGGCCATACAGAAAAAGGAAAAAGAATTTTTAGAAAAAGAGCGTGAGAGGTTAAATTCTGAATCTGTGACAAAAATATTTTGAAAAGGAAAGGAATTCCTACACCAGAGCTTGCCAAGAAGAGAGCTATTGATTAAAAAATATCAAGATGCTCAGCAAGTGTATGAAAAGATAAACTCTCAACAAGATATAGCAGGAATAGCTTATACAGACCTAGACCTCACCTAGAAGAAAAAATCTACTCTCGAGTCTGTCTTCAGGTTAGGGGTAGAGCAAAAACCCGATTTTCCAGCTTTGCGTAAAAAACTCACCGTTTAAAAGATATAGACTTGAAAATGGGGTAAGAACTCAAAAACAGAAATTTGAAAATATTTATTATTCTTCAAAAGGTATGCAACCAACGTTTTACAATGCTAGGAATGATTGTAATAAGATGTTTTATGAATCTAATAAACCTTTTTGTCATCAAAATTGTGTTTATTCTTGTGAATGTCTCTCTCTGCTACAAAAGTTAAAGCAGCACCTCTCTAATCCCAACTGCTTTCTCTTTGGGTCATCAAGGATTAATTGCAAGAAGACCCAGAAGAAAAAGAATACTCCCACGGCCAAATCTGGTAAACCAGACTGTAAGTCTGGTAAATGAGGTATTGAGACAGATCGTCTCCCTCAGTCCAATGTAAAATCTCCTAAGCCTAATCATCGAGGACAATCATGAAATGGGTACCTAAATCCTATAATTTGTTTTGCAAAAGCCGCATGTGGATATTTGGTATCTTGAGTCCGGATGCCATAGACACATAACCGGCAATAAGAGGCTACTCTCCTCATGCAAAGAGAAAATTGGAGGGAGAGTAACCTTTGGGGATAACATGCAAGGAGAGATAAAAGGCTACAGAGATCTTCACCAAGGTAAGGTTTCTATCTCTAAGGTTTCTTATGTCTCTGGGATTAAACATAATTTTTTGAGCATAAGTCAACTTTGTGATTCTAGCTATAATGTCAAGTTCCGAAAGGAAGCTCATTTAATTATGTCAGAATCAGGCCAGGAGTTGCTAAGAGCCAAACGTAAGGGTAACCTATACCTTATGAACTTGTCACCAAGATATAATTCAGAGACACTCTGTCTCATATGTCGTAAGTGTGGAGGCATGGCTCTGGCATCACAACTTGTCTCACTTGAATTTTCAAAATATAGAGAAGCTTGTGAAAAACAATCTGGTTGACGGACTACCAGCCATAAAGTTCTAAAAGGACCATCTATATCCTGCTTGTGAAATGGAAAAGCTCAAAAGAGCATCCCACAAGACAAAGACATATATCTCTTGTGTTAGACCTCTGCATATGCTTCTTGTGGATCTCTGTGGTCCAATCTCTGTGCAGATTTGTCTGGCAAAAAGTATATCCTTGTGCTTATTGATGAATTTTCACGATATACTCTGATTGTGTTTAGAAGGTAGAAGTCAGATGTCCCAAAGCTATTGATCAAACAAATGACAAAGATTCAAGTCCTTCTACATAGAAAAATTCAAAAGTTGAGAAGTGATAACGGAACTGAGTTCACAACGCAAAAATCGATGCGTACCTGGATGGTGAGGGCATATTTCAAAACTTCTCTGCTGCAAGAACATCACAACAAAATGGTGTAGTGGAAAAGAAGAATCGTACATTAGCTGAAACTACAAGAACAATGCTTGCATACTCTGATCTTCCAACCCATTTTTGGACAGAAGTGATCTCAATCGCATGCTTTATTCAAAATAGAGCAACAGTGGTTAAGAGACACATGAAAACTCCTTATGAACTCATTAACCAAAGAAAGCGTTAAATTTTTGCACATCTTTGGTTGCAGATGCTTTATCTTAAATGATCGTGATCATCTTGGCGTGTTCGACAAGAAGGCCAATGAAGGCAAATTTCTTGGCTACTCTGCACATGCCAAGGCCTACAGAGTCTTCAACCTACAAACCAAGACTGTCATGGAAAGCATCAACGTCTCGTTCGACGATAAAGAGCTCGTGACTTCAGAGTACCTCAGCTCTAGACTCGATCTAAACATGACGACTTCCAATTCTCGAACGAAGTCAAGGGAATTGGAACACAGACAATTAGTTGAAGACTTCTTTGATGATGAGGACATCTCTGTGCGTGCACCCATAAATGACTCTGCACGTGATCATGAAGAGCCACAAAACTGCAAGCACATCAATATATGGCCCTTCTCACACCTCTGCTTCCTCTAGTGATCAAGCGAATCCACAACCAGAGCCCTCCAGCTCTAGATCAGATCCCAGTCCTTTAGAGCTAGAGCAAAATATCTCTATCTCTGAACCTGGTTCCTYTGTACCATCATCCGAGGGGGAACAAGCAGAGCCTTCATCACCTTCCATGAGCCAAATACCAAACATATCAATGGAACATGATCCAATGACTCCATCTTCTATTCTAGTCCCAACAACATGATGGACAAAAGATCATCCTCTTCATCAAGTCATTGGTGAACCTTCAAGTAGTGTGAAGACAAGAGTTGTCACTGTGAATGAATGTTTATTTGTAAACTTTCTAAGCATGATAGAGCGTAAAAAAGTTCATGATGCCCTAGAGGACCCTAGTTGGGTCGACGCCATGCAAAAAAGCTCCAACAGTTTGAAAGAAACAAGTATGAAGTCTTGTTCCTTTACCAAGAGATATAATTGCCAGTGGCTGTAAGTGGGTTTTCAGGAACAAGAAGAATGAGGATGACATCATAGTCAGGAACAAACCCAGACTCGTAACAAAAGGCTATTGCCAAGAAGAGAGCATAGACAATGATGAGACCTTTGCTCCAGTTGCAAGGCTAGAAGCTATACACTTATTCCTAGCCTTCTCTGCACATAAAGGATTTCGAGTCTATCAAATGGACATAAAGTCAGCCTTTCTAAATGGTAAGCTGAAAAAGGAAGTCTACATTCAACAACCTCCAGGGTTTGAAAGTTCCAAACACCCATAGAATGTCTACTTCTTAGACAAAGCTCTATATAGACTTAAACAAGCTCCACAGGCCTAGTATGAACGTGTTTCATCCTTTATTTTATCAAATGGTTTTGAAAAAGGTAAAATCGATACCATTTTGTTATTAAGTGGCATAAAGGTGAGATGCCCCTAGTCGAGATCTATGTGGATGACATCATATTTGGTTCAACAAAACAGAGACACTGTCATAAGTTCTCTGCCTTGATGAAGAGTGAGTATGAAATGAGCATGATGGGAGAATTAACATTCCTCCCCGGCTTGCAAGTAAAACAAAGAGAAGACGGTATCTTCATTAGCCAAGCTAAGTATGTCTCTAACATATTAAAGAAGTACCAACTTCATAACTCTTCAGTCATGAGAAGAACACCAATCGCAATAGGGACTAAGCTTGATGCACATCCATCTGGAAAACCGGTGGATGTCAAGACTTAGCATGGCATGATTGGATCACTATTGTATCTCACGGCTAGTCGACCTGATATCATGTTTGCTATGTGTCTTTGTGCTAGATATCAAGCAAATTTTAAGGAATCTCATCTCTCTGCTGTCAAAAGGATCTTTCAATATCTAGACGTGACTCAATTTTTGGGTCTCTAGTATCCTAAGTATTCTGGGTTTGATCTTATCGTGTATACAGACTCTGATCATGCATGATGTAAATTTGACTGAAAGAGTACTTTAGGGACCTGTCAACTGCTTGGTGACAAGCTAATTAGCTGGACATCCAAGAAGCAGAATTAGGTACCTACTTCGATTGCAGAAACAGAGTATGTAGCCGCAGCAAGGTGTTGTTCTCAAGTAATTTGGATTAATACTCAACTCAAAGACTATGGCGTTGAGTTTGACAAAATTCCAATCCTCTGTGATTCTAAAAGCGCGATTGCGATCCCAACAAATCCAGTACAACATTCAAAAACAAAGCACATCGATGTACGTTACCATCTCATCAAAGACCATGTAGAGAAAGGTACGATTGAAATATTCTTTGTCGATGCAGATCATCAACTTGCTGACATTTTTACTAAGGCTCTTGATGAAAAGCGATTCAATTTCTTAGTTAGCAAATTGGGTATGCTGAATCTTCATTAACTCAGACAGAGACACAATATGTACTATATATAGCCTTTGCATCCTTCTTGAGCATATTTCTGTTTGAAACTTGTTTTCTTTCTTTTGACTATGAGATAGAGCTTCTGCATCTTCTATGCTGAGCCTCTTGCTTGTCTCTTTTGTCTTTTTGTCATATAGAGTTTCTGTATCTTCTATACATAATATTGTTCACCATGCTTATACACTTCTTATGATTTTTTGATCCAAGCATAGTTTAAGGGGGGGAAAGCTCCGGTAGCTTAACTCAATAGGGAGCACCGGATCATCCACCATACAGAGCCTCTGTATGTACTGGGCGTCTGTCTTTAAAACTTCGCGTTTATAAGAAAGAAGATATGTGTAGTCCAACCATGAGTCTATGATGAGTTTCTACGGTATGTAATCTTTATCTCTACCATACTCTGATTTCATTTCTAAATCAATGTACAACTCTCATGTAGAGCAACTCTTTATCCCATAATACAGAGCATCTGCCTCGAGATGGTTGTTATCCTTTTCTTTGACCAAGAGTATGAGTTCTCCTCTTTTTCCCTAAGCGTTTTTGAAATATCCTTATCTTTTAATGGAAGGCGTATGGTCTTTTTTATTTTTTTAATAGAAGCTATCATTTACTAATGCTTACCGCTTGTATCCCTAATGTTTCAAATATGGGAGGCGGGATTCACAGCCTGTCAAGCCACATGGCTTCTCCCCACAGGCTGGTGAATAACCGCTTCAGTTTTGATGCTTCGGAGACTGAATTCACTCGAGTGCCTATAAGGAAATCCCTATTTAAACAAGTAATTATCCCAAAAAAAAATTACCATAACACCAAGTATTTGCTCTCTTTATTGTCTTCAAGAAATCAAAGCATCACCGCCATTGATGAACACCCAAGCTCCAAAATCATCAACCTGTTGTTCGATCAATCGATCTTCATCCCTAAAAACTAAAAATCAAGAACTGATTTGACGAAACTCTAATCTTTTAAAACTTTCATCTTCTACGCCCAAAACCAGCAAAAATGTCTTATTCTGCCTTCGATAACTCCCAAACTCAAACTACTACCCTCACTGACTCCCAACGTGGGATTGTTGGTGAATATTACGTTCCCTCCACCAAGGAGTACGTCTCCATTCGCATCTCAAGGTCGTTGTTTTCGCGCATCCTTCAAATACCAACCAAGATAGATCTTGGATTGAACGAGTACGTCCCTCTCCCATTCGGGGATGAACTGGTGGCGATCTTGAAAATGTTGGGGTTCAACCAAGCCATTCAGTACCTGTCGCAATATCAACGACAGTTCCTGCCACCAATGTAGAACACTATGTTCACATTGGTAAACCGTTTGCTGATAGGAGAAATCGGTAGCCTCGATATATGCTCGACCAACATTCTGTAGATCGTGTATGGGATCTTCTTTGATCTGTCTCTAGACTATCCATTGATCCTCTACACGGAGTTCCAAGCTATAGTCCCCAAGAAGAACCTTGACGTCTCAAACGGGAAGGATTCACCAGCTTGCTCTTCTCCTAAGACCTAGCATTGAGGAGCACAACATTAACGTTGCAAACCTTCTTGTTCACAAGGTAAACACACTCTCAACGTACAACCCTACTGTGCTCTTCTTCYAAGCATTGAGGAGCACAACATTAATGTTGCAAAACTTTCTGTACGCTAGGCACTAGAACAAGTGCCTCGAACCTGGACACGCATAGGAACAACCCTAGAGGGCGAGGGCGTAGAAGAGGCAGAAAGGCCTTTACCTGCAGGGGAGAAAATAAGGAAGGATATAAGGAGGGAGCAGAAGAGGAAGAGGCTGGAGGCCAAGAAACAGAGAGAGAAGGAAGAAAAAGAAAAGGAAAGGCAGGTAGAGAAGGAAAGAGAAGAAAAAGAAAGACAAGAAAGAGAGGAGAGAGTAAGAAGAGAGGAAGAGGAGAAGAGTAGAAAAAAGAGGCTATGCGTCAACTAGGACTTCTTTCAAGTTCTGATGCAAAGGACACTGAGGAAGAACAAGAACAATAGCTTAGTGATATTGCTTGGTCCAATGCAGCAAATGACGGGGAAGACGCTCTTGATGATAATGTTGGCATAGCTGTTGAATTTAAAGAGAGTAAAGAGGATGATGAGGGAGGAGCGGGAGAAGTTGCTTTGGCTCCGGAAGAGCCAGAGCAGCATAGGACATTAAATAGGCACATTTATTTCCCAAGCCCAACTCCCAGTGCAAGCACATCATCTGAATCTGTTGGTCGAGCAACATGAGTCATTGAACAAGTGGCGCACACCTCGAACCTTAACCAGCCTACCCAGCCAGAAGTAGCATCTGCCCCTGGTTAAGAAAGCGAAAGGGAAACCACATTCCAGGGCTAACCCTCTCAAAAGGGTGAAACCATTGAAAATATAAGTGGCATATCTCCCCATGCCACACTACTTTTCCCTACAGAGGAATGCGTTTCCTCTGCACTAGAAATTCCCCATCCTTGTTCAGAGCAAGGCGTAGGTGCACATGGCTTGGAGACTCTCGACCGGTCTCTTAGTCCAATCATAAAGGGTTCCTCTGTAGACTCTAAATCTGCTAAAAAAACTCCTCCTGACAAAACAGTCGTAGTGTCTTCTCCTCCATGAGAGACACAAGGATCGGTTGGAAATCCTTCCTCAACCAATGTTAAACAAGTCGAGACTGAAGGTGTCATAAGAACAAGGACTGAATTTGGCCCATGTGTTGAGCTAGAGGTTACCCCTACAACATACATCACAAAGGATGAGTTCCAATCCTTTGCGACCAATGTGTTGTGCTCATTGAATGAGCTAAAACTCGACATGGCCCGTGTAGAGCCATCTTCTTCTGCATCTGCTCTGGATGAAGTTCGATCATCTTTATCTTGAATACTTTATTAGACATTTCCAATTACATAGTTTTTACTTCACTCATACTTATTTATCTATGTTTTTTGATATTAAGAAAATCTGGGTTCCAACATATTTTGATAGCTTCAGGCCTAGCAATGGGGGCGAAGGTTTCATCAGAGTATATCCCTTCTTCCTGAAAGTATATTCGGATAACTATGCCATTTTCCATTTTCGTCTTTCTTGTTTTTGAAGACCCATTTGGTCACAATTGTGGTTTTGCCTTTAGGAAGAGGCATGAGGGACCAAGCTTTGTTTCTCTCAAACACAAGCAACTCTTCTTGCATGGCGTCTATCCAGTTTGGATCTTGTAAGGCTTCAGAGATCTTCTTTGGTTCAATCATGCTTAAGAAGTTTGCAAAGAGGCATTCATTTTCTATGGAAGATCTTGTTTTAACACCAGATGATGGATCACCTATAATTTAGTGATGAGGATGGTCTTTTGTCGACTTGGTACTTGATTGAGGTTCTTGAGCAACAGGATGCAGTTATTCATTGACATAATTTGTAGTTGGAACTGCTTGCTACCCCTCAAGTAGATTTTCTCAAGATTCTTGTTCTGGTTCTAGAGTGGTAGAGGATGTAGACGGTGAAGTAACAGGAGATTCAGAAAGAGGTATACCTTGAATGTCTGAGATCTCATGTAGTTCATCAGCTCTGGGAGTTAGTTTTGCATTGGTCACCGTTCTAGAAACTGCAACTTCTTCAAACAAGTCTTCGAAGAGTTGAGCTAGTTCTGATTCTCTTGGTTTGTGGAATGATGAATCAGAGGCACCTTGTGTTAGCCTCAGTTCTGAACTGTGTTGTCCCAAAGTCTTAGGTGATGCATCATCAAAGGACAAATTGATGCTTTTCATTATAACCGGGTTTCAGACAACTTGGGTTCAGGTAACCTTTTTATGTGATTATTCTCTGAAATACGTGATGGCATGCATGTTATTTAATTAGCTGCATGAATAGTATGCATATACGTGGCAACATGCATGATGTAGAGATTATGTGCATATTTGTGGAAATATGATGTTATGCATGCATGAGTATAATTCTGTGCATATATGAGAAAGTGATTAAATTATATGCACATTTGATAATATGCATATGTGAATCATCAATATTTTAATAAGTAAGTGGGTAACCTTCATGGTTAAGAAAAGTGAGTTTTAAAATATTAAAACCCACCGCCTGTGAGTTTAATAATAGTAAAAGATTCCCACTGCCTTATTAAGAAATATATATAGAAAGGTGAAAAGATAAGATCTTATCTTATCTTGACTTTGGGAAAAGAAACGTTTTTTAGAGAAAAGAAAGTGTGTGGCGGTGGAAGTGTTCTAAGAAGGATTTTGCTTAGAAAGTGATTCAAGGAATATGTGTGTTTGAAACTAACAATCTATGCTTATTAAAGTGAGTTGTTGATACTGAAAACGTTATATGGTGTTATTTAAACTATTGGGTTTTGATAGTTTGATATAAGAAAAAAGATGGGTAAAACTGTTTTCTAACAGTTTATAAATATATGTGTATGATCTTGGACTTGGAAACTATTTTCGAAAGATGATGAAGATTTGGCTTCGTAAAAACAGTTTATGGATAATATCCTATTTCAAGGATTTAAAAAAGATTTTGAGTTTTGGAAATGAGGTTTGAAAGAACTGTTTGTTCTTGAGTTTCAAAGTTTTAAAGATAAAACTGTTTTGAAACCATTATTGGTTAAAAACTATAAATGATATTCTTTCAAGGCGGTTGTGACTTCGGTCTGTCTTTGTTTGGGATTAATCTATAGATTTTGTGGATAAAACTATGGTTGTTGTTTCATCAAGACGATTGTGACTTCAACCTATCTTCGTTTCGAACAAATCCATAGATTTTGATTAGGAAATAAGGGTGGCATATCAAGGAGATGTGTACCATAGGATAAGGGTGACATATCAAGGAGAGGTGTACCTTCAGTTATAAGGGTGGCATATCAAGGAGAGGTGTACCTTTGAATATAAGGGTGGCATTTGTGTGTGGAATTATTATAGCTCTTGCTATTATGTCTCTTAAGATTACAACAGACTTGAGTTGTTACTTCTYTGTGATTTGAGGACTCARAGATGTTGTTCTTAATAGAAATGATAGTATTGATGTTATTGAGAAGGGGAAAACTTGGCCTGTGGCCAATGGTTTTGGATAAACTCTGTTTTGGAACAAGTGTTTGATTTAAGAGGAACCAGAGAGGCTCTGGTTGGTCCTTGAAAGGAACCAGTGGGGCTCTGGTTGGTCCTCATAATAGAACTTGAGGGCTCTGAATGATGTTTCGATTTTGATGCAAGTGTTTTACTAAAAGTTTAAGTTATACCCGAGACTCTGTATCTATTAGATATGTGCTCTGTGTCTCAATCATATTTTAAGTTATTTTTAAGATTTCATACTTAGAAACTTTTCTTACAAAGGAAGATAGACCAGAGGGGCTTTGCTTGGCCTATGCGTTGGACCAGAGGCTCTGGCTGGTATTGCATTTTTAGCCAAAAGCTCTGGCTAGTATAGCCAGAGCTCTGGTCATACAAAACCCTTTTAAAAATAAGTTTTATTCTTGAGAAAGCTATTTTATTAACTAAGTTGTTGGTCTATGAACATTTTGAGAGTTTTACTTAAGTAAGAGGCTCTGGTTAGCTTATCTAGAAGCTCTGGTAGAGGAACCAAGAGGACCTCTAGTCCTCTTGTTTGCTAAAATATTGTTTGCTAAAATATTTTCTAAGTCTGGTCTTCGTAACCAAAGGTCCGATGGACACAAACAAAATGCGGAATTATATTTCATTATGTGAAATCATTTTATTTGATTATTGTTTTGGTGATTTTGACCCTCTAACTACATGGAAAAGGAGATCTCACTAGACCTATAGGTCTAACCCTCATTTTGTGTTTTCAAATATGTATCCCCTTGGTTGTAGAGACCATAGTTTTGACTTAGAATGATTTTGCTCATCATACATTAGGATTAGGGCCAGAGCCCCTCTGGTTCCATTGTAACGCCCCAACCCATACATTGCATGTAACACATATTTCATACAAAAGAAATACATATTATTCCATTCTGGTCCCTTAGTACAAGAATCTAACATGACCAAATACAAGGTCCAAAAATTCAAAACACATTTCTTGTACTAATTAATCAAAACTGTACATCAAAACAGATCTTCAAGCAGAAATGCATATAGGAAAATATTAAATTTTCCCCTTTCCCTTACTGTCCGTACCTCCTGCAACACATAGTTAAAATCACAAAACGAGGGTTAGACCGAAAGGTCTAGTGAGATACCCTATTTATGTTATTGCAGTGTGTAAATCACAAAAATCTTTAAGAAAAACAATTATTCATATATATACAAATATATGAACAAATTGGAACATAAACCCAAATCCTTTCCATTTATCAAATAAAGCATTCAGCTACACAAATCTCATACCTCTGAACCAATCAAGTCTCATCTAATGCCATTTTTTAAACCTTCTCAAAATAAATAAGGCTTATATATAAAGTTTCAGGCCAAACCTGATGTTTTCTTCTCAATAACATCCAGACTATAATTTCCAATAAGAACCTTAATCCTAAATCTTTAAATCACAAAGAAATAAAGATTCCAGATCACGGTAGTCTTAAAGGATATAATAGAAAGAGTTATATCATTCAACACACATGCAAATGCCACCCTTATATCCA